CGTGAAAGAGATGCGTACGAGAGAGGTATGAGAGAAAGGCGTACGAGAGAGGCCCAAGCGAGAGGCGTGAAAGAGAGGCGTAAGATATGCGTGACAGAGAGGCATGAGAGAGGGGCATGAGAGAAACGCGTAAGTGAAAGACGTAAGATATGCATGACAGAGAGGCATGAGAGAGAGGCGTGCGAGAGAGGCGTGAAAGAGGCGTAAGAAGGAAACGTGAGACAGGCGTGACAAAGGCGTGAAAGGGAGGCATACAAGAAATAATCGTAAGCGAGAGGCTTAAGAGAAGCGTAACAGAGAGGGGTGAGAGAGAGGCCTGGAGAAAGAGAGATGAGATGATGATGAGAGATGAAAAAGATGATGAGAGAAATGAGAGTGAAATTTTATTTTAAAAAAGGTCCATAACACTTTAGTGTCACAAAATATATATTAAAAAAAAAAATAATAAAACCATTTTCAATGCCGTACAGACTAATCCTTTACAAAAAAGTGCGGATTTTGCCAAAATATAATAATTTTTTTCTAACCTTAATTTTTTTTTGTTCCGGAACGTGAGCAGGGTTGTTCTTGTCATTACTTTCGTAATAAATCTATTACTTTTTTGGTTTAAATGTTACGTTTTTCTAAAATCTATTACTATTCATTCAAGAAAAATGCCTTAGTAAATTCTCCCTCATGCACAAACAATTTCTACATTTCCAGTGAGCACAATATAAAAATATTACTTACTCAAACAATGGATTAGTTTTGGAACAATCCATTGATATGTGCGCGTGCGTCAAAATGTTAAGGAATCGGATCTTAAAATGACATTTAGTACTTTTTACTGAAATATATTACCTTTTAATGAAATTTATTACGTTTTAGTGCGCCTGTCTATTACGATTTTTTTGGCGCACAAGAACAACGCTGAACGTGAGTGAAATCCTCTTTCCGGCAGTTTTGCCAGTTTGTTACAATTGTAACAAATCTATTACATTTATGAGGGGTTATTACATTATTACATGTCCAATTCAAAATCTTAATAACCACACATAAAGAGCAACTACGAATTGAAATTACTACACTTCTGACAAAATAAGTACTTTTCAACATCCGCAACAAAAAATAGTTCCAACTTGAAAGGGTCATATTTTTAAATTTTGTCTATAATCCGCAATTTTTTTTTTTATTTTAATTAGTATATATCTGTACTTTTATTTAAACATATGTCAAACCTGTAATTTTGTGATACTAAAGTGATATGTCAGCTTTAAAAATTAATAATATATAGTGTCGCACAGAGACGGCTCTGATCTTATGTCGAGCTATGGAAAAAAAAATTAATATTTTATAATATAGTATGCAGTTAAACTTCAGCAGAACTTACTTGCCATAAAAAAAATACACACTATATTGGTTGTAATGATTAAAACACTTTAAATTTCTTTATTTATCATTATAGTCATACAAAAATAAACCTTGGGCGCCACCACAGCTCGTCTCCGTCTCTGGGCAATAATTCGTCTACTCCGACTAGCTATAAAAAAAAATATATTTAAAATTCGTTGTCATCAACTCTGCTGGAGCCGGACCTGTTCTCTTCAGAGTATAAGACTGCCTAACTCGTCAGGAAATCTTTTTTTTTTTAAAGAATAACAACTTATTGGAACGCAGGTAAGTCAGAGAAATGTAATTAAAAAAAGGTTATGTACCGAACTTTCATAAAAACGTTCATAGAGTTCTATTTCGTTGATTCAGTTCTGGTCCTCATTCAAAAGGGTTTTATGTTTATTTTAGCAGATATTCATACACAAAGTCAATTTTGTTGTAAGGACAATTACTTTTAGTAAACATTATAACTTGAAAATGTTTAAAACTTGTATATTTGAACAAATTAGCTGACTAAATTTTGATTCAGTTATGATTTTTTAAATTTGGCAAGTTTTTGCCTTGTTTTATTTAATTTCTACATATTTCATAGCAAAGGTATTTAACTTAAAGTTTTTTAATGTTACTTTTCTTATTGACTTCATTTAAATTCTTTCTAAAACTATTAAGTACTTATTAAACTACTTATAATTTCTTCCGTTACAATAGTTAGGACCTCTTCATCCAACGTTCCTTTACTTCGCATCCACCACTGTTATTCATCGATCGTTTCATTTCTCGTATACTTAAAATATAAAATTTATCTGCATAGTTGCACTCTCATATATGTATGTGTGTGGCAATCCGCAAAGCTGCAATTTATCAAATCCAAAGCATTATTGAAAGGTACAAAAATGATATGTGAAAAGCGTGCTATAAAGTTCAGTATTCGTCGACCGAAGCGCCGCGATATATACTATATAAAAATTTAAATAAAACGTTCCACTCGTCTGCAAATGCTCTCGCTTTAACCTTAAGCCAGAGATAAATATACGAGGTTTTATTTGCCGTTTCTACTGGTAAATAATTTGTGGTAAACACGACTTTTATCAACGTTTTCGTTACAAAGTATGAGTTTATAGTCAACGATACGGTCTTTGTATGTTATTGGAATATACTTGGAACAGATTATTTTTCTTTATATAATAGATTTCTATTGTAGACGCCCATAAAGCGCGTACTTGTATTTTAGAATCGTTTTATACTTATTTATGTAAGCATTATCAAATATCACTTAAATTGTTAAAATAATGTCGCCAAATAGTGGTAGGTGTAATTTTTAAGAGAAATAAGATGATTCCTTAAAACTTTATACAACATGTATTGCTTTATAATTTATTTTGAAACCATGACTACAACTTGTCAACACTACATTAATTATAGATAAAAATCAGCCTTTCTACTTAACTAAATTTGAAAAAATAAATAGTGCTGGGTAAATAATCCTCAAAGATTGAGCCCATATAAAACGAAGAAAACAAGTACATTCAAGCCCAAGACAAAAATTTGGATGGCCCAAGCTCATTGTGGATTATTGATTATTTTATTGCGTATGCGATTATTGACACCAAAAGCGTCTTTGGGCTATTTTGAGCATTTGGGTATCTTTCTATTTAAATAGTATGAGACAAAATCAGAGAGGGAAGAATAGTTTCTGTTACCGATGTAGCACATTCCTGGAATATAGGTAATACATTAATATTTGTTTACATAGGTACATAGAACATTAATATCCTGTTTCTTCTAAGTAAAAATAATTAAATTGATTGTGGGTGTGTGTGTAATGTGTGTGTGTGTAATGTGTGTGTGTGTAATGTGTGTGTGTGTGTGTAATGTGTGTGTGTGTAATGTGTGTGTGTGAAATGTATGTGTGTGAAATGTATGTGTGTGAAATGTGTGTGTGTGTAATGTGTGTGTGTGTGTAATGTGTGTGTGTAATGTGTGTGTGTAATGTGTGTGTGTAATGTGTGTGTAATGTGTGTGTAATGTGTGTGTGTATGTGTGTGCGCGCGCGCGCGCGGGAGGATGTGCGCAGGATAGTGTGTGCGGGAGGGTGTGTGTGCGGGAGGATGTGTGTGTGTGTGTGTGTGTGTGCGGGAGGGTGTGTGTGTGTGTGTGTGTGTGTGTGTGTGTGTGTGTGTGTGTGTGTGTGTGCGGGAGGGTGTGTGTGTATGTGCGGGAGGGTGTGTGTGTGTGAGTGTGTGGAAGTATATGTGCGGGAGGATGTGAGCGGGAGTATGTTTACGGGATGATGTGCGCGGGGGGCTGTGTGTAGGAGGACGTGTGCGGGAAAATTAAAGCGGGAAGATGTGTGCGGGATGTGTGGGATGTGTGTGTAATGTGTATGTGTGTGTATGATGAGTATGTGTATGATGTATGTGTGTGCGGGATAAGCGCGGGATGTGTGTGGTGTGTGATATGTGCAATGTGTGTGTAATATATGTGTGTGTGTGAGGATATGCGCGGGAGGATGTGTGCGGGAGGGTGTGTGCAGGAGCATGTGTGCGGGAAAATGTGCGCGGGAGGATGTGTGCTGTGTGTGAGATATGTGGGATGTGTGTGTATGATGTGTGTGTGATGTGTGTGTATGATGCGTGATGTGTGTATGATATGTGTGTATGATGTGCGGGATGTGTATGATGAGTATGTGTGTGTACGGGATGTGTGCGGGGTGGGTGTGTGTGATGTGTATGATATGAGCGGTGTGTGTGGGATGATGTGTGCGGGAGGGTGTATGTGATGTGTATGATGTGTGCGGGAGGGTGGGTGCATGAGGATGTGTGCGGGAGGATATGCGCGGGAGGATGTGTGTGATGTGTATGTGTGGGAGGTGTGATATGTGCGGGATGTGTTGGATGCGTGTGATGTGTATGATGAGTATGTCTATGATGTGCGGGATGTGTATGAGTATGTGCGTGTGCGGGATGTGTGTGATGTATGAAATGTGTGGGATGTGTAACCTTGCAGATTATAAAGAATGCAAAGGAGAAGCAATAATTGCCTCTGGGACCGATTTGCTGTCCGTAACGATTACAGCTCTCGATCTAATTTTTTACACATCAAGTAAGTGGCAATGGCTTCAGCAATAAAAACCTAGCATAAATCTGGGATACGGAACCGATATACTATATTGATGCTGGGAATAATAAAAGCTAAGCCTGTTTCATGCGCGCTCTAAGAACCATCAGTATAAATGACTGAGTCAATGTTAAGGTTACTCAATGTAGCTTTTAAAATTGCGCCAGTACACTAGTATAAGCGGGAAATATGACTGATGGTTTAAATATTATTATTTCAAAATTGGTATTATATATGGAGTATTTGTTTGCAACAGAAGTTTGAGTAAAATAATGGGTATCAACAAAAGCATTTGACGCTTATCTCTCATTCCTCTTTCTGACACCTCTCTCTCTCTCTTAACGTCTATCTTTGATGCCTCTCTCTCTCTGGAGCTTGTATTTTACGCCTCTCTTTGACGCCTTTTTCTCTGACGCACCTCTCCCTCACACCTCTTTCTCTCACACTCTCCCTCTCTCTCTCTCTGGAAGATTTTTCTACAGGCACTTGACAGTAAAAAAAAAACATTTTTTGTAAAAATTATATTTATTTATATTTTCAAAAGGCTAAATAAATCAGTAATTAAATAATTAGATGTTCGAGTATGTCGAATACTTAAAGCAACAGTCAGTATAACACTTTGAGTGAGTATAAGTATTTAAATATTAATAGTTATTAGTCCGTTAATAACCCGCAAAAGTTCAAGCGGTTTTCTTTGCAGCAACCGGCACCCTTACGCCCATCAATCCGCACAATTCATTCCGCATCGGTCGTATTTGATCCACGGGTTTTTCCCAATCAGTCGAACTCAGAATCGTCATCGCAGACTCCAAATTTTCAGGACTCATTCTACTTTCTTCCCCGTAAACTAACAAAGCCTCGTATACTTTATTAGAAGTAGTTCTTCGGACGTAAGACTGCCGATGGCATAGAAGAATGCTCAATTGAACCAGCGCCACTTCCGATATTGCCCCTTTCATCTGTATAAACTGGCATAAAACGTTAATCCCATCTATTAGTTTATAAATATCTTTACAGCCTGATATTTCGAATTGAACTAATTTGAGTAGTTTCTTCATGAATTCGGAATTCTCTTCTGAAGTAACCGAATCGAAACTTCCAGAATCGAATAGTTTATCCAAAAATCGAAACATCGGTACTATAATCCTGTCGATTTTTCGATAATTATCGAATATTTTTAATATAATATCGCATAATTCTTGTATAAACTCCGGTTTCAAATCCGCTTTGAGTAGAGTAAAGAAAGATAGACTGGAATCTTTTACCAACGTTTCTGTTAAACCTCCGACAGAACAAACCAGCCCGACCATAACGCTGTAGATAAAAGCCGGTAGATGAATTAGTTGTACGAATTTCGGAAAAGTAACTGAGGAAGAATTCCAATTTAATACATCGCATTCCTCTTTAGGGAAGATTCTAATTAAATCATTATGATGCGGTATATTCGGAATACTCGGATCGGAATGTATAAAACTATAAAATACCTGCGCACCTAAAGCTCTTGTCCGGTCAATTTTTTCGACAGCCTGTTGCGCTATTCTAGATAAAACTTCGGTTACTAACTCAGAAGTTAGAATTTTCGGATATATCTTAGCTAGTAACAAAGTTATAGCTTGTAAACCAAGAACTGACGCTTCCCGAATCCAAGCACCTACATCTCCTCTTTTATCGACAGTATAATCCATTAAACCTTCCAAAAACGTATTATAAATATCAGTAATATGTTTCTCGGTGAATTCTTTTCCAATATTATCACCCATTAGTAAAGTAACTGAAGTTAAAGCTTTAACAGCATCTCTACGACTTTCAGCCCATTTCGCGGAAATGGGAGTCGGCTCCATTGATCGTATCAAAGAGGTGACAACGAAATCTAAATTCCTCTCTAAAATCGGCTTAGATAACGCTCCCAATGCAAGACAATGCCCCATCCGGCTTTGTTCACTAGTCGTATTTATTAATTCGTTTACGTATTGTTTTGTAATTGTATCGCATATTTCTAATTTCGTTAAATAATATTCTTGTAGTAATGCAGGTAAAGCTGTTACAGCTGCTAAACGAATCGTTGCGACTTCGTACGAAATGCATTCATTTAGTAATTGAAGCCAATCATCAATTACTGGATCATCGTGATAAGGCATGTGGGCGAGGGAACATTTTTGAATAAAATCGCAGCAAGCTTGTTTCATTAATTCCCCTCCTAAACCTTTAAAATAGAATTTATCTCTACATTTCGATATAATCAATTTGATACTTTCTAACAAATCTTCTTTTAACAAACTCTCCAATTTTGCAATATAAGACAGTGCTAGTACTATTTCACCAATCGCTAAAATACTTCCATGCCTTGCATTCAAATCTATCGAATAAGTTTTTTCTAACAACGAAGGTAACACCGACGATATCATAAAATCAGCATTCTTCGACGTCAAATTATGCAAAGCTTTCGCAGTTAGTTCCCTAATATTAGAATCCCAATAATCGACCTTCCTAGTAACCAAATGATCGATTAAAGCGATATTATATTCTTCAAATTGTGCAATATAAACGCTAATATTTAAGAACGCTGTACTCCTAACGCTAACAGAGAAGAAATCTGCTGTCGTAAGAATATCAATCCCATGTGGAAAACTTCCTTGTCTACCAACATTTTCCTGGAAAGCAGCAGACGCAGCGCGTCTACAATTAATCTCTTTATCAAAACAAGTTACAATCAGTAAAGTACTAGCGATATCTTTAACATACGGCGCAAGTACATCACTTTCGTACGCCCTAGAAAACGACCAACAAACATAACAAGCTGCGTCTCGTATGTGAGAACCTACGGAAGAATATCCCCTTGGTTCGTCATAAACCAAAGCTTTCACCACGACTGGTACTACTTGCGGTAATCGTTCTGGTAGCAGAAGGCCTCTTCTGCTCAACTCGGCTAAAGCTAGACAGCCTCCGTGCCATGCGCTGTCGGTCTCCCTGGGGTTGAACAGCTCCAAAATGGAACCCACAACGTCGTCTGCAAGATCTTTAGGTAACCGTCCGGTTACTCTACCTGTAATGATATTTAATATTTTACATATTTAATAGTTTTAAGCAGTATCGGATTGAGACCTCCAGGGTCTACCGGTTCAGTACGAAGAAGGGTTTACCTATAAATATTTTTCATTGTCCGATTCATTGAAGAGTAGAAAAACGAAACAAAAAATAGGCAAAAACAAAAAGGAATAAACACAAAAGAAAAAAAAGGAAAACAAAAAAATTAATTTCCCTCTTTGTAGTGTAAAAGAAAACAAACAATGAAAACAAAGGAAACAAACATAAAAAACAAAACAAAGAAAACAAAACAAAGAAAACAAAACATGAAAAACAAACAAAGACAGTAAACAAAGAAAACAAAACAAACAAAAAAAAACAAACAAAGGAAACAAGTAAAGAAAACAAGTAAACAAAACAAACAAAGAATACAAACAATGGGGTGGGTGGCTCAGTGGTAGAGTCTTTGCCTGAGGATCTAAGGGTCACAGGTTAGAATCCCAGCGTTAGCTGGGATTTTTTTATTTAATTTAATTATTTAAAATTAATTTTGATGCCTTAGTAGGATTCCCCACTCGACCATTCACTGTTGGGTTCTAATTAACAATGCTATTCCTAAAATGGGAAACAGTAACAAAGCCTAGACAGAACACGAGGCTAATGACCTTAGCAGTCGATGCCGATGACACCACATTAAAAAAAAGAATACAAACAAAGAAAACAAACAAAAAACGAAACCAAAAAAAACAAGTAAAGAAAACAAACAAAGAAAACGAAAACAAACAAAAAAACAAGTATAGAAAACAAACAAAAAAACTAACAACGGACATGCGCTCAAAGTATAAATTAGTAATTCTGAATCAGTTCAGGATTGTTGCCACGAACGAAGCTAAAGAAAACTAACAAAGAAAACAAACAAAAAACAAAGAAAATAAACAAAAAACTAACAAAAACAAAAAACAGACAAAAAACTATAAAAAAAAAACAGAAAACTAACAAAGAAAATAAACAAAAAACTAACAAAAACAAACAAAAAACAGACAAAAACTATCAAGAAAACAAACAAAACTAACAAAGCAAATAAACAAAACAAAAACAAAAAACACAGAAAATAAGTAAAGAAAACAAATAAAAAAGAAAATGAACAAAGGAAACAAGCAAAGAAAATAAACAAAGAAAACAAACAAAGAAAACAAAGAAAAAGAAAACAAACAAAGAAAACAAACAAAGAAAACAAACAAAGAAAACAAACAAATAAAATACAAAAAACAAAGAAAATAAAAAAAACAAACAGAAGACAAACAAAGAAAACAAAACAAAGAAAACAAAACAAAGAAAACAAAACAAAGAAAACAAAACAAAGAAAACAAAACAAAGAAAACAAAACAAAGAAAATAAAACAAAGAAAAGAAAACAAAACAAAGAAAACAAATAAAAACAAAGGAAACGAACAAAGAAAACAAACAAATAAAACAAAGAGAATAAACAAAGAAAACAAACAAAGAAAACAAATAAAGAAAATAAAAAAGAAAAAACAAAGAAAACAAAGAAAGAAAGCAAAGAAAACAAAAAACCAAAAACCCGTATTACTGGGTTTATTTGCATTTGATTCTACTGCCTGAAGAAGGCTTGGGAAAAAAACAAAAACGAAAAACAAGAAAAAACTAAAAAACAAAGAAAACAGAAAAACCGCGTATTATATGGTTCCTTCACATTTGATTCTACCGTCTAAACCGAGTTCCAATGCTTGAAAAAAAAACAGAAAAGTTAAAAAAAATCAACAAAAACATAAAAAATTCAAAAAAATACAATTTCCAAAAAAAATTAAAAATCAAAAAATTAAAAAATTAAAAAAAAAAAAACCTAAAAGTAATAAATTGCCATTTTTTACAAGGTAAAAGTGTCCTCTGCATATAAATACTTTTTCCTAGTTTGCCACGTATTGCAGGGTTTCCTCTAAACGAAGGATCGTTGCTTGAACAAGAACCTACCACCGGTCCTTTGGACCGGTAGACCAACGGCCCAATCCGACACTGATTAAAAGCAAATTTCGCAATTTCCTTTATTAGTGCATCGGCACCTAAATAATTAAACTATTGATTTCAAAGATGCTATTTACTCAGAAATAACATTGTTACTACCTCAAGTACGTTGCACTAATATCGGAAACGAATGGAGAATGTATATAAACAGAATGATTATTAAGTATTTGGTTGGCAAGCAGGGTTGGAAAAAACCCGGAAAAAAGCCCAATCCGATTTTTTATGGGTTTTTTCGTTTTTTTAATGAGGATTTTCCGTTTTTTCTTTAAATTTGACATAAAGTTGCTGCTTTATCAAAAGTTTTACAAAAATTATGACTTTCATTGCAAAAATAATAAAATAAAATGTGTTTACAAAATAAAGCAAGTAACTTGGCAAATAAATACATTTGGCATCGTTGCATCAGCACCTGCACACGTCTCTCTTTTTTAGTTTCTCTCGTTTTGTATTCACCTACTACTTACTTCATGTTATTTATGCTAGTTTTTGTTCAGAAATAAATATATGTATATTGACGTTCATTCAACTGAAAATTTTCTATTTTTGAAAAACCCAATAATAGTGTGTTTTATCAATTGAAAAAAAAAATCCCACTGGGTTATATAACATGAGAAAATTCTATGCCAACGCTGCTGGTGTTCAATTAAATAAAGTAGTTTATCACTTACCAATTCCTTTAGCAGCAGACCATCGCACCACGCCATCTATACTTCTCAAGGCCAATATCAATTGGTCCATTACTTCCTCAACTTCATCCGGTATATCGATCTGGTCTTCAGGTTCGATATCATCCGACGATTTGGAAGTCGAGCTAACAACGCAAATTTTGTTATCGCCCGAACTTAAGTTAGCAGCTAGAGACCTGTTTCCTCTTCTGTACCGCCAAACGGCTATTCGAGGAGCGAGGAACGTCAAACCGATCCTCTGAATTATTTTATACACCAATTTTTGAATATTCGCTCCCGGGAAATTTTTAAATTCGGCGTTTACGACCCACTGCAACAAGTTCGTAGCGTATGGTAAGAGATCTTCGCGTTTGCCGTGTTTTAAAATTGTCGATATACAAGCTAAGACGCCGTATTTTATAAAAACGTTGCTGTCATTCGAAAGGCTGAGTTCTTTAGACCATTCGATGAATGATGATAAATGTTTCTCTTTAACATCGCTTCGTGTTATGAACTGATGACACAAATACGCAGCGGCGTCTCTACACTTGTCCGGAACGACCGCGTACGTCTTGATTAAAGTTAAGATTCTCTCCATCACGCTCGATTTATTTGATCCGTCCTTATCGAAGCCGTCGAATCTGGACATGTGAAATGGTATCATTACGATAATAGACAGCCATAATAACAATATATAACGTGTCGTCCACGTATCTGGATCGTCAGGTGTTTGGGCTTCAAGAAGTTGCAGTACCGGTTCGAGATCTGATACCTCGTGAGGCAAGTGTCTTACTATAACCTTATATCCCCTCACATTAACTACTACGTACATAAATTTGAATGCTAAATGTTTTAATTCGATAGCGTTATCGGCATTTCGAGTAATCTCTATACATTTCTCTAACAGTTCACTGATATGTGAATCTATTAAATGAGGCTGTTCGATATACTGATTTAGAATGAAAGAAAACTTTTCATAAGCTCGTTCAACAACCGAGGTATCACTGTGTACGATATTTTTGAGGTTATCTATCATTTTAAAAACTTCCTCGTGCTCGGAAAAGTGTTCCAAGGCGCAACCCAAACCAAACGGTTCTTCTTCCTTAACATCTGTATTCTTTGCTGGCTTAGACATTTTTGAGAAAAGTATTTGGCATGTGTGTATATTATATTTTCTGATCAAGCATTAGTACCCATTAATGCCTAAAACAAACATATCTCTATCATTAACAAGATAAAGTAGAACCAGAAATGTTGTAAAGTCGTAAATTACTATAAACTACCATTTTGCAAGCCGAGGCAGACAGCAAGGGAGACCTAAACGGTCTCTTCAAGTCTGAACACATGTAATTATATAAAACACTTTTAATGGCAATATTTGCCGTCTTACTTCTGTCTTAGTCTCGCCTCGCTTGTCGCGTGTTGCCAAATGGTACCTTTAGCCGACAACTCCAATTATTACCTATTGTTCGAGATGTACCTTAGCAATAAAATTGTGTGTCCCTTAAAAGATTCCCAGATCTCTCCATTATTGTTTGTCTTTTGTTAACAGTTTTGTATTTAAAACTATTTCATAATATACAAATATCCTAGGGTTGATTTAGAGCACTTAGTAAGGATATGTTTATTGTAAATAAGAGCTATTAGTATGGCATACCCACCGTAGATGTCAGTTTGAATTCTGAGCAAGCATAGTGAGTGAGGAATTTAAAACATCTAAGGCTAAATTTACATCCATTAAGTTACGCATACGAGGCTGGGCTGAGAAATAATCGGCCTCGGCAAGAGTTGGCGGCGCTAGGAACAAATGCAATGGTTTTTCGTAAAAACTATCTTTCAAGTGACTTCGGTCAAATTTTCAGCGAGCTGCGTCACTTAGTTTGTACTTGACAGTGATTTAAGGCAAACAGATTTTGCATTTTTACAAAAATGAATAAAATCGAATATCGCGCAGTGATTAGATTCTTGTTTTTAAAGAAGAAAACGGACGATGAGATCAAAATCAAACTGGATGATGTGTATGGGGACTGTGCACCTTCGTTATCAACAATAAAATATTGGACTGCCGAATTTAAATGCGGTCGTACGATAATTTTTGATGATGAGCGTTCAGGCCGTCCAAGAGAGGTCACCACATGAAAAGTGGTCGATAAAATCCATGATATGGTAATTGACGATCGACGGGTAAGAATGTGTGAGATTGCTGAGGCTGTGGGCATCTCACGTGAACGAGTGGAGAATATATTGCACGAATATTTGGGAATGACGAAGCTCGCTGCCAGATGGGTGCCGCGTTTGCTCAATGCCGACAACAAACGAAACCGTGGGACAACTTCCAAGGAGTGTTTGGCAATGTTTAACCACAATAAGGACTTTTTGCGCCGTTTTGTAACCGTGGATGAAACATGGATTCATCACAACACGCCAGAGAAGAAGGAACAGTCAAAGCAGTGGGTTTGTCAGGGCGAGTCAAAGCCAAAAAAAGCCAACAAGGTCATGGCCACAGTTTTTTGGGATGCGCACGGTATTATTCATATCGATTACCTTGAAATGGGCAAAACCATCACCGGCGATTATTACTCAAAGCTGTTGGACCGATTCGACGACGATTTGAAGCAAAAACGACCGCATTTAACGAAGAAGAAAGTGCCCTTCCACCAGGACAACGCACCGGCGCACAAATGTGCAGTCGCAATGGCAAAACTGTATGAATTGCGTTACGAATTGGTTTCTCATCCGCCATACTCCACAGATTTGGCGCCCAGCGACTATTATGTTTCCAGACTTGAAAAAATGACTCGGTGGTAAGAGATTTGAGTCGAATGGGGAGGTCATCGCTGCGACAGAGGCCTATTTTAAGGACTTCGAGAAATCGTATTATTCGAAGGGCATTGAAAAATTGGAGAATCGTTGGACAAAGTGTATAGAGCTTAAAGAGAACTATGATGAGAAATAAATTGAGTTTTGCCAAAAAAAAGTTGTGTTTTCTGGCCTAGGCCGATTATTTTTCAGCCCAGCCTCGTAGAACGAGAAATGGAATTACATTCGTTTTAGATACCAGATATTTGTAAATTATTTTGATATGATTTAAAGCCAATGCGAGTGACTAGATATTGAGTAATGAAGGACGTTTGACTCCCATTGTCTAAAAGTAGTTTTATTGTTATAGAATTGTCGTTTTTAACCTAGTAACATGCAGAGGGGTAGTAAAAGAAGTAGGTAACTTCTTAGGAGAAGAATTCCAAAAGTAGTAGAATAATTTATATAGGTATACGTATAAGAAATAACAAAATTAAAGACATATCGTCAGAACAGGTATCACAAAGAGGACAGATTTTTAAGGGAATTCCCCAAGGGTCATCATTAAGTCCACTATTATTTAACATATCGGATTTAAAAGATAACTTAATAGAAGGAACAGAGCTAGTAAGGTTTTTGGATGATTTAACACTGTTCATAAAGGATAGAAATATCCCACAAATTATACAAATAATAAATAACAATTTAAAACATGTGGTCACATGGTTATATCACCCAACAAGTCATCCTATATAATATTTAGTAAGTCAAAAATCAAACAAAACCTTCAGGAAATAAAAATAAATAATATCAGAATTAAAATAAAACAGAAAAACAAATATTTGAGAGTAATATTAGATTCAAAATTTTAAATGATTAGTCATATAAATAAAAGCAATGACAGATCAATGGATATAATAAAAACATTTATAAGTACCAAGTGAGGATAAGGTCCAAAAACACTTAAAATGATTTATGAAGGATTGGTTCAAATTCACTTGGATTTTGGATCAATACTCCACTTTTAAACATCTAAACAAAATCTAACAAAGTTGGGCAAAATTCAGTATCAAACATTAAGGAGCAATGAAAAGTTTTCCATTCCCCTCTTTGCTTGCAAAATCAGCTGGGTTTCTTTGAGGTGGAGAAGAATATATTTGGCAGTGAAATCCGTCTTAAAATTTTAGCTCTAAAAAAGAATCAAATAGCCAAGAGTCTAATCAATGTTTAACTCTGTATATAACCAGCAAAGTATTTCACTAACTGATTTTCCTATCCTTGAAGCACTGAACAAAGGTCTCCAATATTATTCCGAAATTTCTAAATTACCTAATCTACCTTGCTTTTCATACAAATACAGCATACAGCAAACGAAAATAAAGATGATAAAAACAAACATTGAATAGTCTAACCCCACACTTCAAAACAAAAATTATTGACCAACATTCTAACTTAACAAAAGTTCGGTTCAGTTGACACAAAAACAGAAAGGGCAGGGGAATACATATTATTATATCATCTCTTAGCTTCAATACAGCTCTCAGACTAAGTAACTATACAATCATATGCTCTGCAGAGGTAACAGCTATTGAAAGAGCAAGCAAAAAATATTTAACTCAGAAATAAAAGAAGCAATAAGCAAATAGTGCTATAGACAGGATAAACTGAACCGGAATTAACCCTAGATCAAACAAGTTGACGTTAGAAATCAAGAAATTAGTAGTACAAACAACAGAGAAGGGCAAAAAGATCTACAGGAGATGGACTCTGAGCCACACAAATATAAAAGGAAATGAGGTAGCAGATATATTAGCAAATTTGGGCAGAAATAAAGAAGGGATAGATATAATTGAAGTAGACTATAGAGACTTATTATCAAGACTAAAAAAAATTGTTTATTGTCCAACAGGAAAAAACCCAATTACAGGACAAACTGTACAGTTTGACTTAATTGGCCTAACTTAACCTAATAATAATTAATAATTATATAAATATTATACACTAACAAAAATAATTTTAATTTTATTTTTATTGACTACCTGATTCTCATGTAACCTTTGTTTTAATTTATATTTTAAATGAATGCACAAATTAAAATTCTTAGCCCTCTTGCATAAAAATTGGCATAATAATAACAACAATAATACTAACAATAAATAATGATAATAACAGTGATAATAACACTGCTACATTTATTATTGTCGCTGAATCAAAGTAAATGTCATTCAGTGTACAAAATTCATTATAATTTGAGCAAGTTGTATAAATTGGTGATTTGATAAAAACGTTAGGTCTTGCAGTAGGGAGATAAAAGCACTAATGTGACCTTCTTTCAATGCGTGGGATATGAAAATTTAGGTAGATGAGTAGAATGAAATATGCAGAACGAAAAAATAACACTTATACAACATCCAAGATAAAATATTAAAAAAAAAAACATGGTTTCAGGACGTTAATCTAAATAGGAATTATATTACTAACATGTGCAGAGATGTAGAATAGGACATTGTTGGACACTAATTCTTCTACATGGAATGGGAAAGCTGGACTCCCCCTCCTGCCAATGTGGTCACACTCCTTATTTACACCACTTTGCTAAGTAGATTATCTTAGCAATCCAGATTCCTTAGATACTTCACTAATAAACGAATGTTTAACTAAATGCAACATAATATTTTAAATTACAGGAAGAAGTATACAGCCAAAGTAAAGAAACAATGGTCTAGAGCCACACACCGCAATTACAGTTTCCTTATGAAAAACAGATAAAAAGAAAGACAAACGAGACTGGGTAGATAGTGAAAACTAAGCCCATAAACGTAAAGAAGAAGATTTTAATTTCTCTATAAGTAGAACTTTACAGACACTAACGTCATTACACTTTCTAAGAGGTTAATGAATAGTTATCAGATGGTTTTTGTGCATGTCAAGTAAAACTTTACAGACAGAAACCGATAATAATTATAAGAAAAAAAATCTTTATTGAGGGGATAATCCCAAAGGGGTATTGACTGGAGTGTTTCTGCCCAATAACTATTATTATATAATATTTACTTACCTAACCACCAGACTTTTACTATTATACTAATGAGCTGTTAAGATTAGCGATAGTGGTTTATTTAGGGCAATGTTTCTCAAAGTGTGCTCCGCGGAGTCCTAGGGCTTCGCAATATCTGTGGGGGCTCCGCGAAGAAAATAAGTCATAATCTAAAGGAGTACTATGAGTAAGTTTGCCACAAAATGGAGGACCTGGTTTGAGGACCTTTTTTTTAGAAGAAGAAATGCCCTGGGGTTGCAAAGTAAAATAAAACCTATCTAAACCAATATAAAGTTTGAAAAATCTGTTTTAGGGCGTCGTCAAATATTTCGCTTTTCAAAAAGGCCTCGTCACCAAAAAAGTTTGAGAAAGACTGATTTAGGATTACAAATTCAATTACCAGATTTGAAAGACAAGAGAGCTATTTTCTTTAGGCAAAGACTTTGTGGAATATTATTAACAAAGAAATTGGTCGAAATAAAACAAATACAAAGACAGAAAATGTAACTCCTGAAGAACTCAATAATTTTCTTATTAATAATGCGGAAAACATAATTCAGAATCTAGAGAAACCAGATATACCTGCTAATTCCTTTATAAATATACAATTAAAAAATTCAATGTTTTCTCAGCCAGTTACCCAAACTGATATAGAATCAATTGTAAAAGATTTAAAAAATAAAAGAACAGGATATTGATGGATTTAATGTATATATAATGAAAAAATGTATTTCTTTTTTGTCTAAACCTTTAACTACAATTATAAATGCTTGTCTAACTGAAGGAATATTTCCTGATAGCATGAAAATTGCTAAGGTCTGTCCTCTATTTCAAAAAGGAGACCCTTCTCAGCCTTGCAACTTCAGACAAATTGCTGTACTTTCCATATTCTCCAAAATCTAGGAAAAAATTATGTATAATCTAATATCATATTTAAATTCTTCCAACATACTCACGCCATTCCAGTATGGTTTTAGAAGGGGGCGATTTACAATAGATGCAGTATTATCTCTAGTACAATACATAGAAAATTGTTTTGAAGAAGCTGAAAACTGTTTAGGTGTATTTACAGATCTAAGCTCTGCTTTTGACTGTGTGAATCATTCAATTCTATTATCAAAACTGGAGAGGTATGGAGTATGGAGTACGAAGGATTTGTTTACAGCTTTTTGAATCTTATTTAACTGACAGATGTCAAACAGTCATCATCGAAAATTGCAAAAGTTTATTGATGCATATCAGGAGAGGTGTCCCTCAGGGCCCAATTTTAGGTCCATTACTCTTTTTGATATACATTAATGATCTTCCTGACCATATGCATTTTGAAAACCTTATCACATGTATATTTGCTGATTATACTTCTTTTTGTATTAATACTAAAAGAGGAACAAATCATGATCAAGTTTACTCTGATGTCATGATTCAGGCAAAGAGGTGGTTTTCTGTAAATGACACAAAAACTATCTCCCAATTATTTACAGTAAATAGTGAACAAGTTAATACCAATTCTGTTAAAACACTTGGCATTCAAAGTGATCCACATCACAGATGGACAGATCATATTGAAGCACTTTGTTCCAAATTATCATGAGCAGTTTTTGCTATCAGGAAAATACGGCAAATATGTGGTCAAGATGCAGCAATTACTGCTTACTATGCTCTATTTCATAGTCATTTGACATACGGGACAATATGTTGGGGCAATGCTGCTGACACACATATCTCAAGAGTCTTTATTTTGCAAAAATCAGCCATAAGAGCCATAACACGTGCTTCTTGGCAAGCCAGATGTAGACCAGTATTCCCAGAACTTAAAATTATGACACTCTATGCAGTGATAATCTATCAAAACCTTCTATTCATAAGAAATAATATTAACACAATTTTTTCCCACTCAGATATCCATAACTATGATACAAGGCACAAAGATAACTTAGTCCCTATCCAGTATAGACTGGAAAGGACAAAGAAATATTATATTGAGCTATACAATATACTACCACTTAATTTTAGAAATCAGCCTATATATAAATTTAAACATGCATTAAAACAAATGTTATCCAATAATTGCCTATATAGCTTAAAGGAATTTAAATCAATACAGATGGAGGCTGTCACTGTGGCCTCTGAGTGATTCAGTGAACTATGTTGTAAATGTTTATAAATTTCAATTTTATATTTCTATATTATTATATTTAGGTAAATTTTATTATATATATTTAGTTTTAATTGTAATTTGACATCGAGTTGATATAAAATATCTAGGTACCCATTTTGAGAATTGACCGCATTACTGATTTTAGAAACAAAGGATAATTTAACAAAAAAAGTTGCTCATTATTTAGATTTTTGCTCACATATCAACTTTTAGCTTTTGTTTTTTAACAAATCATTTTTAAGTTACTTGAATTAATTTTTCAATATTTTGAAATATAATACCATCTTTTGCAATTTTAAGGAAAAACTATCAAATTTGACATTTTCAAAGTCACCTTATTGACCAATTATGTCATTTGTTATTATTTTTGAATCTAAAAATGATGGTATTTAAAATGTATCTACATCTACATGTGGAACACTGTATATCATACATTACATCTAAATAAATAATTCTAAATTATATTTTTTAATAATTATTTTGACACAATTTATCATTATACTTATAGAACAGAAATAAATGGCTAGAGTAGGTACGTCTCTGTGTAGAGGCAACTGCCAGCTAATAACTGAAGAGGTTGACATTTTATGACCTTACAATATTTCTGATTATTCTTTAACTTTTAGTACAAAAATTATTCATCTTTATCAAAAAAGATAAGTAAAATAGAAAATTAGAGACACTGTGAGCGCATTATTGATGTGGATCTGAAATTAATATCTGTAAGTACATTTTTATGCAAAAAAATCAAAGTGTAGATATGAGGTGTCACTTCTTGAATGATTAGTAAAATTTTGGCAAAAAATGGAATTGCCACCTTCTTGCAGCAAGATCCTCAATTGCCATATACAAGAAATACAGCCTACACTATGTGAAATTAATGATGGTGTTCTATTTTATTTAATCTATATCTTAATGATTGAGCAATCTTAACCTTGCATAAATCTACAGCTATGTTATTAAAAATATCACAATAAAAGGACATCTTCATAGTTACCCAATTATTATTGATTCTAATCGAGTTAAAAGAGATATATTTGTTCAATTTCTGATGCATAGTAAATCATAACCAAAAAACAATTACTAAACTTACCATTAACTTCTGTTAATTATATTCAATGGGCTGAAGTACCATAAAGTAGATATTGTTCAAAAATAAATATCTTATATGAATATGCAGATTATCTCTCCAATACCTAAAAGAAGATTCATTCAGTTCTAAAGATGTGCCATTTTTTTATAGTTTTAAATACAAAAGTGGTTAAATTATGGAAGAGTATGGATATGTACTTAGAGCAGGGAATGAATCCGAATTCTTCAAAAAATCGGATTGAAGGTCTGTTAAACTGTGAAGAGTATTATATAGAATGCTAAGATTATATATCTTCAATCTAGTTATTAATTTGCACAAGATATAGAACTAAAGTTTTTTGTTTACAATAGCAATACCTACAAGTAGATAGGTATGCTTTTTTCCGTAATTCAAAAGAGCTCAAACTAGATATTTACCATAGTTTGTTGCTTTAAAACCTTTATGATAATTATTTATAAATATAATACATAATATATTTTACTAAAGTTATCATAAATATTGAGTTATGTTACTGAAAAATCAAAAAGAAAATATATCTTAAATTATAACCTATAAACACCTGGAAGAATGAATCATGTTTTTAAAAATAATTCAAATTATTGATACATAAAAACACATTATACTTACTATTTAAAGAGTACCGATTATTTACTGCATATTGCTATTAACAATAAACAATTAAATATCGAAAATATAAATAATAAACAGCATTAAATTATTTATTTTGAATGAAAATAACAAAATTGGCAAGTGACAATTAATAGACAGTGACAACCAGTGTCACCAAAATATGTTATTTACTAGATTTGTCTAAAAAATGTACCGGATTTCATAAAAATGTAAGAGATTTTTCGAATTCTATGTGCAATGACGAGTTTGGTTCACTGAAGAGGAAGAAAAAAAAAGACACAATAAAACAATGCATTTTTATATTAAATAGAAATATACCCTGCTGTACATCGGGGAAGAAAAAGATTTTGAGAATGTACTAAATTTTGTACAACTGTACTAGATTGGCAACACTGGTGTCAACAACAGAAACACAGAACACAAAAGCCAATTTGCTAAAATCTTCTTTTTATAAAGGTCTTTTGTCTTGTAGACACTGTGGTTGAAACATATTTTCTACCTAACAAATTGTATGCTTTTAAAATTTCATTTTATTTTGCTAATGCCCAATTTGTTCCTAACTTCATTAACGAGTATTAAAAAAAATATTTATATGGCAACCCTGTTGTCTTTGACAGGGTCAATGATATACATATAATTATATAGATTGCTCAAAACGGATCGTTTTGCTAGCGGCTGAATTGCCTTGTAAATGCTCATTAATTAGAATCAATTTAGGAAAAATGTATTTTAAAACCAATTTTCAGCGTTTCAATACAGTAATAGTATATTATGCAACGATCATGTAATGATGGTTATTAATACACGAGCATTAACCGGGATACGAAACGAGCCAAAGGCGAGTTTCGTATGGTTTATGCGAGTGTTTTAATAACCATTACATGAGAGTTGCATACGCTATTTTTTCTACACCCGATAAATAATCAAGACCTATAAATATTCTATTTATATTGGCATTGAACACAATAACAGTAATTACTCGTATTTCTATAAAAAATTCTACAAAATTGTAATTAATGGTATTACCTTGGGTATTGGTATTACCACAGATTTTTGGGGCAAAATATTTTGTACTGCATTTTCTCCTTTCTCCGATATGTGTGGAGGAGTCTTCTATATCGCTGATATCAGACATTTTAATATTATAATTATCGAAGTTTAGCTATCTACGAAAATTTAATACGTTTTGACAACTAAAACAATTACATAGGAATTTAGGACAAACGTCAAACATCATGCTTGATTGAAAAATTGTAGGTTTCTATTGATTAAAAATCTGTATCATAATGAAAAATCTGTATCATAATGGATATCATTATGAAACGGATTTTGGACATATAAGTGCATTATTATAATACGGGTGTAGAAAAAATAACTAATTACCTACATTTTTACTTAAAAGCATAAGCTTGTTAATTTTGAAAAACATGGATAATCAATCTATTTAAATATCTATAGCAATGAACTGGAATGGGTTAGAAAGCTAATGTGCATATTGTATCAATTGAACAAGATGCGACTCTATGGGCGCAGCCATTTTTATTTCTCATCTCACTCGGGAGTATTTATAATAACCATTTTCTGTTTCACATTGTTATTGTTCAATCCACAGGCTGGTGGATCAGACAATAACAAAGTGAAATAGAAAATGGTCGTTATAAATACTCGCGAGCGAGATGAAAAATAACCTGTCTTCGCCCATAGAGTCGCATCTCAAGTCTATTGACAAGCATTCTACCCCACTTCAGTTCATTGATCGCTCACAGGGTTGCCATATCATAATCTGTTATATCGATATAAATTATTTGAAGTTATATGAAGTGAAAAAAGTAAAATATCTAGAAACATAACCTAAATTCAGCATCTAGCATTATTGGACAACTGAAAATTAACAAACCACAAGTATCCCCCATAAAATAAAAGTCTTTAACGTTTTATATTATTTATTCGCTGGTAAAAAAATTAATATGTTCGCTCTTATAATTTATAGTGGATTTTATTTGTTGCACTAGGTGTAAGTTTTCTGCACTAATCGCATTTGATTTGTACAGTGTAACTTCAGATATTTGACACATACTTGAGTGTAGCATATACTTTTGACAAGTATGACAGTCCGAATACAGTGTCGAGTGTGACATTAGTGCAATAAATAAAATCCATTATAAGATAATTGAAAACCACTGTCTTAAGTTTTAAACAGAGAAAGATATACAGTGTGTCCCACTATAAAGTAGCACATTTTAGAAGCTTATAACTCGAGAATAGAAAAGATATCAACATGCAGTTTTCACTAAACTTCTTACATATGCTCCAAGTTTTTGTTGACATAGTTGCCAAATTTATATTTTACTTATTTATATTCGATTGTCGAAAATAATCAATTAATCGAAAATCGATTAATTCAAAATAATCGAATAATCAACTAATTGACAATATTCGATTAATCGAAAATCATGGAATAATCGAAAATTATCGATTAATCGAAAATAATCAATTAATTGAAAAAAAAAATCGATAAATTGAAATAATCGATCAATAAAAAAAAATGTATTGTTAAAAATGATCGATAAAGCGAAAATAATTAATTGTCGAAAATAATCGATTATTTGAAAATAATCGATTATTCGAAAATAATAGATTAATCGAAAAATTGACTAATAAAAAATTATCGATAAATCTAAAATAATCGATTAATCAAAATATTTCTTTTTATTGAAAAAATAAAAATAAAATAGGATTTCCAAAATTACAAAAAAAAATCATATCGTCCGAACGGATGGATCGATTTCAATGAAACTTGGACCGAAGGTGTAAACCCACGAGACGCTCTTAAAAAAATTCTGCGTTAAAATCGGTTTGGCGGTTTCCATGGAAACCGCGAAAAACCGCCCAAAATCGTGTTTTCGTCCTACAGCGCCACCCTCAGTCAATTGGGGGCACGTAGGAAGGGATTTTGTGTTAGTGGTAGATGCCCTAGATAACCAAGGTGGACCTAATTTATGTGAGAATTGCCACCTGTCAACTGTCACTTTTTTATGACGTTTTGAAAATTTCTGTCGTTTTTCGACGGTTTATTATTGTCGAAAATGATCGAAAGTAACTGATTAATCGAAAATAATCAATTAATCGAAAATAATCGACTAATTAAAAATAATCGATTAATCGAAAATAATCGAATAATTGACTAATTAAAAATGATAGATTAATCGAAAATAATCAACTAATTAAAAATAATTGATTAATCGAAAATCATCGAGTAATCTAAAGTGCTACGATTAATCGAACAAAATCCAATAATCAAAAATAATGGATTGTCGAAAATAATCGATTAATCAAATATAATCGACTAATTAAAAATTACCGATTAATCAAAATAATAGACTAGCTACAAATAATTGATTGATCGAAAATAATCGATTAATCGAAAATAATCGATTAATCGAAAATAATCGTATAACTGACTAATTGAAAATAATCGATTAATCGAAAATCATGGAATAATCGAAAATCATCGATTAATCGAGAAGAATAGATCAATCGAAAATAATCAATTGAAAAAAAAATCGATAAAATTAAAATAATCGATTATCGATTTAAAAAAATATAATAATTGACTAATCGATTATTAATCGATTATTTTGCTCACCCCTAATTGTAAGATTGTTGGAATGTTCTGTTAAGTTTATTTATTTTTTATATAAGTGTATTTTCTGGTTTATTTAAAGTAAAAAATTATCTGATACTCTTATAATCAACTGTGTTCTTTTCCCAAAGCAGTCTGACATATTAGACACCGTTTTATCTACAATGTAAAAAAATGCCATTTTTCCGGCAATTTCGAGAAAAATATATAAATTTGGCAACTACGTCAACTAAAACTTGAAGTAAATGCAAGAATTTTAGCGAAAACTACAGGTCAATATATTTTTTTATTTTCGAGTTATAAGCTGTTAAAATGTGTAATTTATAGTGGGACAACTTATATTTTGTCTTCATTTAATGTGTAGTGTCAATCGGTCACATATTGCATTTCAGAGTTATGTATCCACCCTTTTTCATAGTCTAAGGGCATCACATTGTTACAACAAAAAAAAAAGTATATAGAAACATTGCTAATGTCTTCAGATTGTGCTCTCAAGTGCACAAAATAATAAAAATAAATATCTAGATCATCAATTACTAGATAACAAAACAGCTTAAAGAAAATGATTATATTGAAATATTTAAAGTCACCACTGCAAATCAATAAAACCATCTTTTCTATAGAAAATATTTTAAATCAGTCTCCTTACACTGCCACCGGCCACAGCAGCTCAATATTATGATTCACAATACAAGCTGCATCTTCTTAAACATCTCAGTTTTCAGAGAAAATCTGTTTCGTCTTCCACATTGCAGAATAAACAGTCCAATATTTGATAAATACCACTACACTGTATAGTTTCTTGATAGTATTTCGATAACTTTTTTCTTGAGCATTTTCACTTTTACTTTTCCTAATGATTTACTTTGAAAACGACATTTTAAATTACTCGCTCGAATCTTCTTCTTAGGATTACCCGGGTTGGCACTAAAATCAAAAACTATTTAGAATAATATAAAAATATGGAAAAGATAAACAAGAATTTTAATTACATTACTGAGAGAAATAATGTTGATGGTAATTTTTGATCAGCATATCTTAAGATATTTAAGAAGTTATATAAGAAGATAAATTACATTATATTCCTAATATACAAGGTGATTTCTAAGTTGATACTCTTTTTCAACTATATATACGCTGCTGATTTAGTATAAATATGTGTAAAATCGACTCTCAAAAATAAAGATTTTTAAGTGGTTTAATGTGAGTTAAAAATTTGCAGCAACAGATTTTATTAAACCGTAACATCAGAAACCTGGAAATAATCTAGGTATATTTAAAGAAAATAAAACAGAAATCCAAAAATTAAAATAACAAGTTTTTTGCTACTGATCTCAAAGATACCATTTATTTAGTAGGTATATATATTCACAGTACATTGGCATACAAAATAAAATAAAACAAAAGTAGAATGACTCATACAAATCAATTAGAAGAATTATTTAAACTCATTAAACAAGTACAAGAGAATTTATCTAATAAAGTAGACAACGAAAATTCTGAGGTTAAACAATTCACTCTTGCTATATTTAATAAAATCAATAAAACTGACCGTAGAATAAAAAAGCTAGAAACAGAAAATATAATTTTGAAAACATGTCAGAAAAATCTCAAATGAACTAAAGAAACTTTTGATAATAACCAAAAACTTTATTTATCTTTTAAAAATTTTATATAAGGTAAATATAAAATATTTTATTTTCTGTTTTAAATATGCAAAATTATATTGTATCAACAATTAGGTTTAAATAAATTAAAATTATAAATTAATATTGAGTATATTACTTACCAATAATTATGATCCAATTTTAATAACTTTTTATTTCTTCTTGACTCTAGTTTTTCAGTACAAGCACTAGAAAAATAATTTGGAACTTTTAAAAATATAAAAAAATACCTGTTTTTCGTTTTCAAGTTATTTTAGTACATATTAAATGTCCCCATATTGATTTTCATTTATTTATTTTCATTGTTTTTAATAGATTTTAATAGATTTTAATAGATTTTAATAGATTTTAATAGATTTTAATAGATTTTAATAGATTTTAATAGATTTTAATAGATTTTAATAGATTTTAATAGATTTTAATAGATTTTAATAGATTTTAATAGTTTTTAATAGATTTTAATAGATTTTAATAGATTTTAATAGATTTTAATAGATTTTAATAGATTTTAATAGATTTTAATAGATTTTAATAGATTTTAATAGATTTTAATAGATTTTAATAGATTTTAATAGATTTTAATAGATTTTAATAGATTTTAATAGATTTTAATAGATTTTAATAGATTTTAATAGATTTTAATAGATTTTAATAGATTTTAATAGATTCTAATATATTTTAACAGATTCTAATATATTTTAATAGATTTTAATAAATTTTAATAGATTTTAATATATTTTAATACATTTTAATAGATTTTAATATACTTTAATAGATTTTAATAAATTTTAATAGATTTTAATAGATTTTAGTTGATTTTAGTAGATTTTAATAGATTTTAGTAAATTTTAACAGATTTTAATAAATTTTAAAAGATTGTAATAGACCAATAGATTTTAATAGATTTTAGTTGATTTTAGTAGATTTTAATAGATTGTAATAGATTTTAATAGATTTTAATATATTTTAATAGATTTTAATAGATTTTAATAGATTTTAATAGATTTTAATAGATTTTAATAGATTTTAATAGATTTTAATAGATTTTAATAGATTTTAATAGATTTTAATAGATTTTAATAGATTTTAATAGATTTTAATAGATTTTAATAGATTTTAATAGATTTTAATAGATTTTAATAGATTTTAATAGATTTTAATAGATTTTAATAGATTTTAATAGATTTTAATAGATTTTAATAGATTTTAATAGATTTTAATAGATTTTAATAGATTTTAATAGATTTTAATAGATTTTAATAGATTTTAATAGATTTTAATAGATTTGAATAGATTTTAATAGATTCTAATATATTTTAATAGATTCTAATATATTTTAATAGATTTTAATAAATTTTAATAGATTTTAATATATTTTAATACATTTTAATAGATTTTAATATACTTTAATAGATTTTAATAAATTTTAATAGATTTTAATATATTTTAATAGATTTTAATAGATTTTAATAGATTTTAATAGATTTTAATAGATTTTAATAGATTTTAATAGATTTTAATAGATTTTAATAGATTTTATTAGATTTTAATAGATTTTAATAAATTTTTATATACTTTAATAGATTTTTATATACTTTAATAGATTTTAATAGATTTTAGTAAATTCTAATAGATTTTAATAGATTAAGAAGAAATAAGACAAAACTAATTCACCCACCATATTGCAAAAAAAGGAAAAAATCTAAAGACCTTTTTAAAAATAAGTCACTATTTGATCAATAATAAGTAAAATAATATTGTTTGATAAATACATATTTAGGTATTTATAATTATTAGATTGTGTGTATATTACTTACCAATAATTATGATCCAACTTCAAAAACCTCATCTTTACTGCGGGACTGAGACTTTCATTATCATCATCTAATGGAACAACACTTTCAGGTTGATTAGATAGTAATTTTTCATCCAATAAAGTACCATGTGATACATTTTGAGAAATTGATTCTTGTTCTTCAGCAGAAGTACTAAAAAAATAAAAACAAGAAATACTTGTAAATAAATTTCATAGTTTATAGTTCATAGTTTAAAGCAGGAAGAAAATACTGCAAAAGTATTATAGATATGTATTAATTATAATTTAAGATTCTAACAACTAAAAATAATGGTAATAACTAATAAAATTAACGTATGATTCAATGAATTATTTAAATATTATATACATTTAGTTTTTGACCTGTAAATATCTAGTAATTTGTATCAAAAATAAAAAAGTGCAAGTTGCCATAGTATCTCAGCTAAAATATGTTTGTTTCTTCCAAATAATGTTTCAACAGTGTTGACAGATGCTATAAATATGTCATTTTTATCAGGACAATTCAGTGATGTCATAAAATATTCAATCTTAGCTAAAATATGTTTGTTTCTTCCTGGGGGTCGATTCTCTACTTGTAGGAACCTTTTTCTATAGGAAAATGTCATAAATTTTTGATGTAAAATGTCAAAAATTCCTATAGGAAAAATTCCTACACGTCGAGAATCAACCCCCAGATGTTTCAACAGTGTTGACAAATGCTATAAATATGTGATTTTTATCAGGACAATTCAGTGATGTCCTAAAATATTCTAAAGTGGTATTATATTTAAATTTGGTGATAAAAAATTACTGGTAATGATAGAACTATATCTCTGCTGCCTATACTGACAAAAATTATTGAAAAACTTGTAAAACATCAAATGATTAATTTCTCAAATAAACATTCACTCTTTTGTTTAGACAAATTGGTTTCCAATTCAATAAAAATACTTCAGATGCTATATTTTTTATTCTAGAGAAACTATATTAGAACTAAATGAAAGAGCAGTTGCTATAGCAGTATTTTGTGATTTATCTAAGACATTTTAATATGTAAATCAAAGAATATTATTAATTAAATTGGAAAAATATGGCTTTGAAATAGGTGAAATCTTATTTGTCAAAGTGTAGTGGTTAAGAAAAACATCTACCATTTACAAATTTAAGTTATCACAGATTCTGTCAAATATAAAAGTGCAAGGAACATTATTAGAAATGATTAAAAATATTCTTTAATTCTTGGTCAGTTATATATTGAGACATAAAAACAAGCGTATTGATTCAATTTAATACATACATAGCAGGAGTTCTTCTCTTCATTTTAGGGCTTCCTTCACTTGATGTTGGAACATCATAAGAGTTCGATGTAGGAGTGAAAATCTTCTTGTCTACGAAAAGACTAGGAACTGCCGATGGAACTAAAACACGTATTTCGGTATATGTAAGGAACTGGTCGTTTTCGAAATGGTTCGAACAAACAAATTTGACTGCCTTGTCAGGTATTTCAGTGGTTATGTTTAAGGCAGACAACCACTGTTTTCGACGATTCTTATCTTTAGGCAATCTGTAATACATTAATATTAAAATAGTTCTTTTTGCTTCGAGTAATTAATATGGTTTACCTGTGAAAACTTAATACTGCATTTTCTGGTATTAATCTCTTCAAGTTTTTACACTCCTTTACCATACAACTCATTTTGGCATTTCTTCATAAGTTTAACTGCTTTAGAAGAACTTATACAAGATCAACATATATGGTAAAGTAAATGTAAAATAACAACAAAATTAGGGAATATTACAAAATTTGGTATCTAAACTAATTTTATAAACAAGTTAAAAAAAACTAGCAGCACAGTAACTGACAGTAGTGACACTGACAGTTGACAGCAACACCACCAGGAGTGCGTTTAGAAACCTCGCACGGCGCGTCTGGACCCTATTCTAATGCTTGTGGTCAGACGCACCGTGCGAGGTTTCTAAACGCACTCCAGCTTTGCCAACTATTTTTATTCGTTATGAAAACTAGAGATGGGCATATTCGTTATTTAAGCTTTTATAATTCACCGCAAAAGCGCTGATGTTGCTAAAGATGTTAAAAATACATTGTTTCTTGTGGGAACTTTGCATAATTTTGTAAAAATTATAAAAATAAAAGCACAGAAAATATTGTTATATTTATTTCTAAATAACGCCCGTATGCACCGTACACGTTTAATCCAGGTCAAGGGTTTAATCGCGTTTAGTGCCATGTTTAGCTATGGTACTAAACGCGATTAAACCCTTGATCTGGATTAAACGTGTACGGTGCATACGGGCGTAAGTCTTGCAAGTTTTAAGTGATAAATTATTTAATTTTATCTATATAAAATGTAAATTAGGTGTGACCAAATTCGAAACGGTTTGTTAAATAGTGAAATTTGGTAAGTACAATTTTGCAGGTAAATTTTTTTGAGTTATATCTAAATATAGTTTTAAGGCCCAACTCAATCTTGTTTCATATAAAGTCATGAATTTTTTTAGGTTACAAAACTTGCATTATCGATTTTTCATTCGAAGTAATACCACGGGCTTGTTTGTTATATTCAGGTCGACTTTAACTACCTCTCTCCCCATCAAAAACCTTTTTAACTTCTGTTAGTGCATCTGGGGACCTATTTTCAAAGTATGGGAGCACTCATTTCGCTCAAGATTCTCATCAGAAATGTCATACGTTAATGTGGAACGCTGTTTTTAAAGGCCTCGAGGATTATAATTCTTAGGAGAATTTTAATTATCTCCAAATAAATCGAGAGAAACAATCTGAGTTCACACTGGCCCTAAGGGCCCTAAAAATACTGTTTTACGTTGATATATAAAATTTCTATTGAGAGAAATACATTATCTCGAGTTTAAAAATATCCCCCCCTGCTATACAAGTCGGTAATGAGTCCTATGATTGAACGTTTACGTTATCCGTAACGTACATGTTAGGCAAAGTTTTAACAGTAACGAGGCAAGTTCGTATGATGGAAAACTTTTTCCAACACATTACTGTTATTTTTCGCCTGTTTTCCAACACATTACTGTTATTTTCCGCCTGTTTTCCAACACATTACTGTTATTTTCCGCCTGTTATGTTCTAATTTAACAGTTTTCCAACACATTACTGTTATTTTCAGCTTATTCTGTTCTAATTTAACAGTTTTCCATCATACGAACTTGCCTCGTTACTGTTAAAACTCGTCCTAACATGTACGTTACTGATAACATAAACGTTCAATCATAGGACCCAATAACAGTTTTCTCCAGTGACAAGAACGAAGAACGGTTCAGTTACAAAATCGCATCCCATCTCTACGTATCTGTCAATTCCGTCAAATTGTCAAATATCAAAAATATATTTTTCTTTTGCATCTTGTGTTTGGCAGCGGCTGGAAGTTGTCAGAGAGAAAAACTCAAAATGTCGTAAGTAAATTTACTTTTATTTAAACAATCTTAGCCTTAAATAAACTATTATACATTTACAATCATTTTATAAATATCGATTGTAATTAATTCGTTAATATTTTCGTGTAATTAAATCATATTTCTATTTGCAGGTCGAAAGTGTCTCGTGATACACTTTACGAATGTGTGAACGCAGTATTGGACACTGCCAAGGAGAAGAAAAGGAATTTTTTGGAAACCGTTGAGCTTCAAATCGGTCTCAAAAATTACGATCCCCAAAAGGACAAACGTTTCAGTGGAACCGTCAAGTATGTAACCTGACTAGTAATATTTTTAGGTTATTTTCAATAATTATAATTCTAACATGAGCCTAAAGATATGCACTAATTCAGGAAGCCGATAATCGGCGGACCTATACCCAGGGTCTTAAAACAACTGGGCAGATATTACTGGGTTTACCTAGAAATATCGATCACTTAGATATAGGTTTTATATGGATTTTACTATGGGGATGTTTGTAGGTGTTGGTAAGTTTTAAATGATACCGATACTGGCTAGATTTAAATAGTTTTGTTTTTATTGGTCTGGTATGCTTTCGCTACGTCTGAATTAAAAAAAAAAAAAAAATATCCTACTAGGTACCTTAAAGTGGTAATTTTGAAATTTTAACACTGGTTCATTGAAGTAACTTTTATCATTTTAACTGAAATTAAATATGGAAAATTAAGTTTAACTTTTTATAATTTTAATAATCAGAAATGTATTTTATATTGTATTAATTTAATGAAAAATACATGTGCTTTTTACATAATTTTTAGGTTAATATCAATCTTCTTTTTTCTTAAAACTTAAGCTGTTCATATATAAGTAATGAGACACATGGTGGCCTTTACCCACATAAGCAATATATTGTAACAATTTGCTATTTTCATTTATATTATGTATAAAATGCAATATTTTGACTGATTTATCATAACTTTTCATAATTTTCTTCCATAAACATAAAAATAATTCATGAAATTTTCCATTTTTGACCCATAAGGTCCTTGAATTTGCAATGTTGCCATACTATATATTGTTGAATTTTTAATCCTCTTCTAATAATTTCTAAAGATTTGTGTTTAGAAGAGAAGAAATGGAATATATGTATTCATTTACAAAGTATTTTATTACAGTGTTGTGTTCAGGGTTGGAAAAAACTTAAGTATGAAAAATATACAGTGTCCACTAGGGTGTCATTTTTGAGCACCTTTTTTTTTTTTTAACTAAAAAACAGGCTTAAAACTTTCAGGAAGGTGAAAAAAGAAGCCTTTAAAAATTTAAGCTCTTAATATTATCATTTAGTGGTGCCTGTTCCTAACTTTCCATTTTCCATCTAAATAACATGGAGACAAATTTGTTCTTTTTTATTATTTTTGTAGCTTGACATTTGAGCATTGTAAAAATAAAGTGAAAAATTATTTTGGTAGGAAATTGAAAGCTCTACAAAAAGTTGTTCTAATTTATTTTTTTCATAGAGTGAGCCATTCTGAAGATTAGACTGGGCCAAAAAAATAATACAATTTTTTTCTTAGTGGAACTATGAAAATATTGTTCATGATGACAAAAAAAAATTCCTGAAAGTTTGAGCCCTTAATAATAATATTAAGAGGTGTATCATTGATTTTTCAACAGTTGTCGCGTTTTTGCATAAATTTCGGACTTGGTCAATTTTAAAAAAAATTTTCATCTCTTATCCTTGTAGGAAATTAAATTCCCCACAAAAAAGCTCTCTTAGTAAATTTTCGTAAGACGAGTCTTCTTTGTAATCTTAATATTTAAGTTCATTTTGGAAATCCCAAATGCAAAGTGAAAAATTGAAAATATATACCAATGTTTAAGGCTCGATTACAAAGAATAGACTCGCCTTACGAAAATTTACTAAGACAGCTTTTTTGTGGGGAATTTAATTTTCTACAAGGATAATTGACCAAGTCCGAAATTTATGCAAAAACGCGACAACTGTTGAAAAATTCAATAACTGCAATGATGCACCTCTTAATATTATTATTAAGGGCTCAAACTTTCAGGAAACTTTTTTTTGTCGTCATGAACAATATTTTCATAGTTCCGCTAAGAAAAAAAATTGTTTTATTTTTTTGGCCCAGTCTACTGAAGATATTCAAACTTAAAGTTGCAAATGTATGAAATTAGGACTTTTATTTTATTAAACTGATGACTTTTTTATGTCAGAAAACTGGTTTTTGTGCGCTATTTTTAGAAAGCTAAAATTAAAAAAAAATACATCTTAGATATTATTTGATTAACAAAAGTAATTATGAATTAGGTTCAGTAAAATTATTATTTTATAAATAAAAAAAAAAACTTTTTAACAATTAGCATACTAAAATTTTGAAACTAATAGATATTTTAATGTCTTATCAGAATTAAATGATGTAACTATAATTGTTGAATTTTTTTTATTACAATTTGAATATTTTCGTGGGTTTACCACTTGTAATAAATATTAAAATTGTTCCTCATCTTTAGTTAGGCATCTATTATATTCTTCTACTAATGCGACGCCACGTCCTGCAACGTCATTGACAACTTTCAATTTTTCAAAACTCCAAATTCTCTTGATAACTTCCATTATCTGGCCAAATTAGGACATCTGCATCCAGAAAGTCGTACGGCAAATCAAATTTGTCAAAAAGTTTCATTGCTTGTTTTGAAACAAAGTCACTCATATTTTTGTTTAAAAATATTTCTGGTGAATTTTTGTCTTCTGTGCGTCGTTATTTTCTTTCTATATTTAAATGTTTTCTTGAAAATAATTTTTAAGACATAAATAAGTCATCAGTTTAATAAAATAAAAGTCCTAATCTATATATATAAAATTGTTTGTCCTGACTGACTGAAATTTGGAACAAAGGTTTATTTTATAACGTAGGCATCTGTTAAGAGAGGATTTTTCAAAATTTTAACTTCAAAGGGGGGAGGGAGCTTTTAATGAAACTCTTTATTCTAAGTTAGAAACATGAAAATTTAAATTACAGCTATTAAGCATAAATAAATAATGACGTGTTTCAGGATTTTTAGATTTTCTCATTTTAAGGGGGGAAAATTTATTTGGGAATATCTATGTTTTTGGTTCTCTTTAAAATTAGAAACATGAAAATTGGAATTGCAGCTAATGAATACAAATTAATAATGACATGTTTTAGGGTTTTTGGATTTTCATATTTTAAGGGGGGGAAATAGGGGTCAAAGTTTACTTTATCGATTTTATTTAAGGTAGGAACTTGAAAATTGGAATTGAAGGTTTTCATCATAAATAAATCATAAAAGTGTTTCAGGATTTTTGCATTTTAACATTTTAAGGGAGATAATTGGGGGGGGGGGTGAAAATTTGTTTAATAGTATGTATATATTTTTTTGTTATTTAAAGTTTGAAACATAAAAATTTGAATTACAGCTACTGATTAAAAATCAAAAATGATGTGTTTCATGGTTTTTGAATTTTCACATTTTAAGGGGGGGAAACAGGGGTAAAAATTTGTATAGAAGTATACATTTTTTGAAAGTTTAAACTTGAAAATTAAAATTGTAGCATAAATAAATAATGACGTGCTCTGTGGTTAGATTTTTGTATGGTAGTATTATAAAAATAAACTAAAATTAAAAAAAAATAATTATTAAAAATTAATAAAAAGTAATAATTATTAAAATTAATAAAAATTAATAAAAATTATTAAAATTAATAAAAATTAATAAAAATAAATAAAAAGGAAAATAAATAAAAATTAATAAAAAAGAATAAAAATGAATACAAATAAAGACAAATAGATAAAAATGGATAAAAATCAATAAAAATGAATAAAAATGAGCAAAAAATTAATAAAAATTAATATAAATGAATAAAATTAAATAAAAAGGAATAAAAATTAGTAAAAATTAATATAAATGAATAAAAATAAATAAAAAGGAATGAAAATGAATAAAAATTAATAAAAATTAATAAAAATAAATAACATTGATTAAAAATGAATACTAATGAATAAAAATGAACAGAAATCAACAAAAATTGATAAAAATGAATAAATATAAAAAAAAATTAATAAAAATGAATGAAAATCAATAAAACTAATAAAAGTTAATAAAAAAGAAAGTCACGTATTTTTTTATATTAATAACACGACTACATGCGAGCAAAGTCGCGGGCAACAGCTAGTTTCATATATTTGCAATTTTAAGCTGTACATATATAAGTAATGAGACACATGGTGGCCTTTACCCACATAAGCAATATATTGTAACAATTTGCTATTTTCATTTATATTATGTATAAAATGCAATATTTTGACTGATTTATCATAACTTTTCATAATTTTCTTCCACAAACATAAAAATAATTCATGAAATTTTCCATTTTTGACCCATAAGGTCCTTGAATTTGCAATGTTGCCATACTATATATTGTTGATTAAAAATGAATACTAATGAATAAAAATGAACAGAAATCAATAAAAATGGATAAAAATGAATAACAATGAATAAATATAAAAAAAAAATTAATAAAAATGAATGAAAATCAATAAAACTAATAAAAATTGATAAAAAAGAAAGTCACGTATTTTTTTATATTAATAACACGACTACATGCGAGCAAAGTCGCGGGCAACAGCTAGTTTCATATATTTGAAACTTTAAGTTTGAATATCTTCAGAACGGCTCACTCTATGAAAAAAATAAATTAGAACTTTTTGTAGAGCTTTCAATTTCCTACCAAAATAATTTTTCACTTTATTTTTACAATGCTCAAATGTCAAGCTACAAAAATTAGAAAAAAGAAAAAAATTTTTTCATGTTAGATGGAAAGTTAAGAACAGGCACCACTAAATGATAATATTAAGAGCTCAAATTTTTAGAGGCTTCTTTTTTCACCTTCCTGAAAGTTTTTAGCCTGTTTTTTAGTTGAAAAAAAAAATGATACACCCTAGTGTCCACTTAAGTTCGCAGCATATGGGAAACATTAATAACTTTAATACGAAAAAAAGTTATTCCTCATAAAAAGTTCTGCATGATATGAAACCTAAAATGCAACAATCAGATATCAAATTTTTACAATAGAATGTTAAATATTATTTTTTGCTAAAGACTAAATTAGCCTTTATTTTTGATAAACCTCATATAAGACTGTTAAAATTTGATAATATAATGGTTTTATTTTAGATTATGCTCGACTTTTTATGTAGAATAACTTTTTTTTTTCTAAAATTAGTAATGAGAGCTTTCCAGGTATCAAAGTTTACATATGATGGCTACC